CATACGCCGGGGGTAATAAAAAAAAGACAAAAATACAACTATACTTTTCCAAGTATTTAGGTAATCGTGTCTAGACAAGTTGTGACTATTTAGCTGAGACTCAAACAATAATTATTTGTAAGAGAGAGAGAGAGAGAGAGAGAGAGAGACAGAGAGAGAGAGAGAGAGAGAGAGAGAGAGAGAGAGAGAGAGAGAGAGAGAGAGAGAGAGAGAGAGAGAGAGAGAGAGAGAGAAATAAATACCCAAATATGAGAATAAAAACAAAAATTAAGTAAAGTATGGGAGGAAAGTCAACTTTGCAGAAAATGTTAGTATTGGAAAATAAAAACACAAGAGTTCTAATAAGGCAATTCAATTCACCAGATTTTTAGCAACTTTAAATTAAACCAATGAGGATAAATCAGGGTTGTCAGTGAAGATTTTGCAAAATCACTAGATACATTTTTGCTAAAAAATCACTAGATTAATTTAAAACGCTTGCCCCCAACGAAAACTTATCAGTTTTGTTAAACAAAAAATTCTCAAAGCCCAAGTCTTGCTTTGGCAGCCCTGGGATAAATAACACCAATGATAGTAAATAACAAGATGGGCCACTCAGCCAAAAAAGTGTCCGCAGGAAGTATGCTCTTTGCTTCAGATGGCGCTGCAGTCTGTTTTGAAGCTCTCTTTCGTTTTTCCAGAAGAAGAATAGGAATAGCACCTCCTTGCGTGCGCAGATCGACTGCTGTTCATCAGCAGTTCGGGTACGTTCAGTGTGGAGTTCTAGGTTTTTAAAAATTTTAATGACCTCTCGCCTTTCATTCTAAAGCCAAATTAAACGAAGAAAACCATCACCCTTTCCTCCGGAAGAGGTTTTTTGTCAGGGTAACCATTTTGAAAAAGCGTTCTTCCGAAATTTATCCCAAAACTTGCTAGTTTCACTTTGATTTTTTATAACTCAAGTAGGGTAACTCTGTTCGCAAAGAGTGCGCTTTTGTGAAGAGGGCGCCACCAAATTTTGAGGACACTTTTTTAATTGGCTCAAAGAGAGAAGTGGCCTATCTTGTTATGTACTATCTTTGATAACACATAGGTATCGATGTTAAGAGCAGGTATCGGTACCAATACCGATACCTGTAGATATCTAAGTATCGAGTACCTAGTATCGATACCTGCCCATCACTACAGCCCTGTTTGTGACTTTGTTCCTGGTTACCGGGTCTGTGTACACTCCAAGGAGATTAAAAGTAATTTTTGATACACTCCCATGAGAAAAAGGTGAAAGCAACTATTACGTTTTGACACTGTATCAATGATAGTAAGACTGTATCAATCAATGATATGTACTATCATTGTATCAATTGACTGTATCAATATAATCTTTGAAAATGAATTTGCGTCCCGACTAATATTTCTTAAGTCTTCAAGATTCAGGATAACCTCGATTTCAGAACATAGCAAAGCACGAACTATTTTTTTTTCAAAAATACATTCTTCAAAGAAAAAATAAGATGAAAAAAGAGTAATTGAGAATCGTTAGTTTACAGAGAAAGGGATCGGTTCTTTTTCTCAGAAGAAATAATCGCAGGAATCGGTTCTGGAATCTATTCTTGGCCCATCACTAGTTTATTTATGTAAACCGATTTTCTTGGAAATGTTATGGACCTAATTGTGAAGAGAAGCGAGATGCACACGAAGCCAAAACAGAGGAATAGATCTACAGCTTGATCATCTTAATTTCCACGAAAACTGTGAGACCTGTCTAGAATTCTACATCTAATCTAGATCCTTCAGATATTTCATGTTTCGTTCTTGGTTTCTTGTCTTGTGGACATCTCAGTTGTCTCTGCTGGCAGCTTGGTCCGGCGATGCTTTTTTTTCGGTTTTTCCCCCCTTCGGTAGTTCCCCCCCCCTATTTGAGTCTAGATGTAGATTCTAGATCTAGATCTAGATGTAGATCTAAAAATCTAGTATCTAGATCTAGGTCTAGAGATCTAGATCTAATTTCTACATCTAGATCTAGATTAGATCTATCAGTTTGATTTGCGGCGAGCTAAGATATCAAACCTAACAACTGCAAAGAAAGTGGCTATTCTCACCCGCCCGGAAGTTCTCGCAAGATCAACTCCTCCCCTCTTCTCTCTCTCTCTGTCTCTTTCTGAATACTGTCTATCGGTGTGGACGATCAAATTGACCAAAACAAAGTTAAAAAATGATGTTAAAACACAAAAGTAAATTAATTAGGTTGTCTACAAAGACGCTACGGCTATTTAACTTTTCGAATCGAGCCGAACTACGCGGGTCGCCATTTTGTTTTGCCCGGAAATTCTCGCGCTACTCCTCTCTCTCTTTCTCTCTCTCTCTCCACTGCCCACAGACAAAATTGTACGCTTCTAGTAGGCTACAGTTGTAATGGAACGTTTGTTCACGGCACAGAATTCTTCAATTTTTCTGTTATCACAGTGTAGAATTCTGTGGTTTAGGGTGAACGCAAAATTTGGTGAACGCGCACCGGGTGAGAATAGCCACAAGACTCCCCTGCA